TTGTCTAAAACATGTTTTTGAGCACGGATCAAATAGTATCCCAACACGCACACAAACTCATGCCATCATCAGGGTCCAATTCAACGGCCCTTTTGGCCAGCTCTAAACTTTCCGCGCAGTTTTTTAAGCGTTCGCCATTTTCGCCGCCAAGATGCCTGTACGCCATAGACAGATTTCGAAGGCATGCTTTATCGTCTTTGTTCTGAAATCACAAGATTAGAGGCCAATTTTTCAGCGCTGATACATGCGTTTGCAGAAAACGCCGGATGACAAAATTTAGTGTGATTTGAATCATACAGTATCCTTCTCATAATGATCTTCGGCCACAAAGTCGAGTCGTATGATACTCGGGTGGGCCGAAGAAGAAAATACTGACTAGTTACGCATAAACCATTAACTGGAGCTGGCGAGCTTCTCCACCAGAAGCTAACTAGGAGGCCAGCATGCATCAAGACTATGATAGAAGAACATCTACTTTCAAACAGCAGATGTTCATTCTACAATGCAGCAACCAGTGCCTTATGGCAAAGATGCTGAAAAGCTGTGAATACAGAGGACATCACAAGCCAGGCACAACGCTTATGCAACCGGTTCAAAGTGGTGTCAACCGGCCTACAAACATGCTCTCCACAGAAGGGTGGATTTTTAAATGTTACGACAAACAACGTTGCATGCTTAATTTGCTAGTGCCAGCTACTGAAAGGAGCCAATAAACGAATCTGCACAGTGAAAGTTATACAAACAGTTTCTTCGCCGGCGGAAGCAAACTTACCAGCTTTAAACCGGCGAGAAAACACTTTTTGGCGCCGTTGATATCTGAGCGCTTCCAGACGCATTCGCCCAGTTCGTTGAGCGCCTGAGGAAACGACGGATTCAGTCGAATGCAGCGGGTCAGCTGTTCTTCACATTCCTTCACGTATTTCGGATAGAGGTTCAATGCCTTGCCAAGAAGATACGCCTGCAGATATTTCGGAAGTTCTAGAAGAACTAGCAGATACGTAAAAAGCCACGTAAATGATGTCGTTCACATCGATTTAGGAATAGAGAAAAAAACCTTTCGAAGTCCATGCAATCAAGGAACCAAATAGAAGAACATACTCTAGCAAAAATCAGTGTTTCAAAGAAGACTGTAATTGGAAGCGAAAAAGAGAAGAGCCAGGTCACCTGTTATACAAAAATTTGCAGAAGAATGCTAACAGCTTTGAGACGTTACATGAGTGTGAACGACAGTGAGAAGAAAGACATCATTTCATACGAACTTGCACCTACGTTACAAGCATTTATTTCTTCAGAGAAACGAAGGATTCTTCCAAGGGTAGCCACCAGCGACGAAACTGATGCATCTCATGAAAAACAACCGTCTAGTATGTAGCCCTGACCATTTAAGAATTCTTCTAAGCAATGAACTGGCCACATTCGCGATTCATTCGTTTTCAGCACCCGCTATTCTTCTTGAATCGAAAAAGCACTAACCTCAAGAGATCTCTTAACGGCATTGGCCTTCGGCTTAATCGGCCGAATTATAATGCAGGACGTTCGCATGTTCTCTATGAAAACGAGACATGATCTTGGATCGTTATTATTGTGCCTTTACCATAAGATTTGCGAGTAGTCATGGTCAAAATCATCGCAGCCGTGATCTCTCAGTTTTAAAAAGAGCAGCTCGAATGACGACGAACTTTGTCGCAAAATTTGTATTCGAATTTTTTTAACATCTTTACACTGACCTTTAACAATTATTTTTAAAGAACAGGAATACAATACCTGGGCATTTTTTGATGCTGCTTAGCAAATCAGACACTTTGTTTTCGAGTTCCGCATTGAAGCAAGCTTCGGTCGGTGTAGAACTGGTGATGTAGAAACTGCATTTGAAATCGTTAATTTCCTCGATTTGACTTTCAAACGATTTCAAGAAGTCTGGAGGTTGTTCGATGTCTGAACATGAGTTTTAACATGGTGCGAATGACGTCAAAAATTACGAAAACCACGGACCTGTTTTCTCCTGACTTTCCATGTTCATACGAAGCGAGAAAACATAATGTAATCTGGTCTAAAACACTGACATTCAAAAATGCGAGAAACAAAGCACTACGCGAAATGATATAGCTAAATGCATCAATTCCGTTTTGGAAAAAATTTATACATGGATGTCTGATATGCCAAAGGACACCTATCTAAGTGGTTCCCCAAAAAACTATTGAATTTTTTAGAGTAATGTGCTTTCGTCTTTACTACTCAACATTCATTTCGACCTTGTTCTTCAAAACAGTGTTGACAGTGGAAAAGACAACTGTCTCATTCTACAAGGTACCCACACTTAAAGATACCCCACTATATATCTTCCTTGCTTATAGTATGCATATGATTTGAGCTGGTGAGTAGTACGTGGAGCACACTGTCTCATGATGACATCGGTTTGCAACACAGATACGAAAATGTACATCGGACGTCTGTCATGAGCAACTTACCAGGCGCAGCTGATCTATTAGCAGAACAAAGGAAGTAAGTCATAAAGAAAGTCGGACCAATTTAAATATCTTCAGCATGGCACCATCTAACCAGAGATAAAGTGGAGGATCATTGCAGACAAGTGTTTTTGCTAATCTGTCCAATATTAGGACTGAAAAATTAGTAGCCCTCTGCATCCGCCTGTATTTTGCGTGAATCAAGTAAAATCCACCTGCTATACGGCAGGGAAATGGCTGTTGGATCGAAGGAGCAAGAACGACGGTTGAACTGGGCACTGCAACGTTGGCTTCGACGAATAACCAGGGTCAAATTGCAGGATCACGTAAGGAGTAAATCGATCTCATTCGTGCACCGCACATGTGCAGATTTAAAAGAAATCGAAGTTAACCTCGCTAGAGCAACCGGCTGAGTATTTACGCCAGCATACCAGGTTCTCTTGTGGGGGCGGAAAAATGACAGGCGACGGATAAACAGAAAAGCTGGATTCCACTGTACATACAACCAAAGCGAGCGTTCGTTTCAACTAAACGCGCAAGTGATCACAACAGCTAGATGCTGCATTTGATATCTTCATTACTGAAGTGACGAGATGGACGTTCGTTTTCCTAAACTTTCCTGGTCGTTGTCCCGGTCGTCTACGACCTTCGTCTACCCATACATCTTTTTCTGTTTAAAACAGATTTCAATGCGATTTCAAAACGCTAGTATGTCGCATAAAATATACATTCTGAAACTGAAACACAGCCGTCGGAAACTCTCTGCATCCGTCAGCTTTGAAACAGCTTTTGACGAATCAGATTCAGCAGGTTAGTACTGTGGCAGTAACAAGAATCTAGGATACACGCCTTTCGATAATTAAGACAAGAATTATTACGCCAACAGATGTACACCGAAACGAATATATTTGTATACAACCAGATATTGTAGGCGAAAAATCAACTTGAACGAGAGACAAACAACTGCATAAAAACATGAAAAATGTCGTAACAAATATTACAAGCTTCTCATAAAACCAAGCCTGATTGAAACTGATCAAACAGCCTGTTCGAAGATTTAAACAAAAATCTTCGTCCCTCTCCAAAACAAAGCAAAATCAGCTTTATATAACAATTTAGGAAACTTCAGAAACAATGTATCAAGGATTTAAGCACCGAATTTTTAGTACTGTAGGTTTCTTTCTTTAAAACTTGCTAATCATTTAAATACTGTAGGATTTCTAGTTTTGCGGCAACCACTGTTCGCTAATGAATTTTTTATTTTGTTTTAATTCTATGCATCGTTATTTACATCCTTATGCGTAAAATATAAATCGAACATGAAAGCCGTCCTATCGCTTATATCTTGCATGCATGGTAGGTTAGAGTAGAGGAGCTGTTTCCGTAAGCCAATGATTACGTCGATGAAAATGAAAGGTTGTCACCTTTGGAATGTCGGTCTTCCTTCACTTTCATGAGTGAGCCATTTTTGCACCCTTCTCTTAACGAAGTTGATGGTTCGGTGCTAATGTCTGTTTCAGTTACATAAGTTAGGAGTGTTTTTTACTAAGAGCAGTGTCTACAGCCATGTAGCAACCATAACGTGGTCTCTTGTTTCCTTCCCTCCTAGTAGTATTCATTTATCAATCTCGAATGAAAGAAGGGTGAGTGAACCCCTACAGAGGGCGAGGGGAGGGGTGTTGGCACTGTCTATAGGGTCTGCTTTGAATTGCGGAGATGCCGGGTTAGATCCCGGTCGAAGGCCATCTTTATCTTATTCACAAATTCCTTTATGCAGGGAGTTTACCACATATTGCTTCAGACTTGGGTTGCTCAGTCAATTAGCATCGAATTCAGAATCGGTAGGTCCGCAGTTCCATCCCCAAGGTCAGTGGAAAGACTCATCTAATCATTTAAGCACCTTCGATAGTATCCTTCCATCTCCGGTGATAGGGTCATTAGCTGACTTACGTTTATGAAAACAGCACTCATCAAATTCATGTATGGAATCGGAAAATTGCTCAATTGCTAGTCAGAATTGACACTGATCCAAAAGGCAGCTGTTCAGCTATTCAGTTTAGAAGTGCTGGGATCAAATCCCTGGAGGCGTAAATTCTTGTTATTAGCTATTATTTCCTTTATCAAGGAATTGTTTCAGCTCTACTTCGGCACAACCGTCTCAGAAGCAGGTAGTAGGTCGCTGACTTGCGAGCAAAACCGACGACAGTGCATATGATGTAACATGTAAACTTGAAATAGCTCCTGAAATGATCGATGAATTTCTTAGTTGTTACTATTTCATGATAAATGACATCGACCGGTTGAAGCTGCTGTGTAGCATATAATGACAATAGATTTTTGAGCTAAGCCGGTAACCAACATTGGTTGGATAACATTTAAATCTATCTTTAAATCTTAGTGACTGTAGTGTGCTAGACTGGCTGTGGCACTTTTGTTGAATACGTAAATCTTTTCGTTTCTTAAACTTTTACCGCTACTGTTGTTTTGTTTGCTCATGTGAAACAGCATAAAACAGAATTTATTAACATACGATGCAAAATATAAAATGGTAAATCGGATAATTCACAACTACCAACTCTCTCACGAGCCTTCTTCAAGGTATGAGGTTGGTACAGTTTCGGAGATATTTCTTGTTGTCAGCAGTGGTTAGCAGGTTTGGAGCAAAGCGCAAGGTTTTGCTCTGCTGCTGGTTAAATGGATTTTGCGCGTGAAGCCTCATCCAATCTGCACAGAGTTTTCTTGTCCCTTTTTCACGGATTGACATTGTCACAGGATTGGATGATTAGTGCTTTATTGAATCGTCTGTTACAGCCAATTTCCTTCTTTAACGATGCAGCTATACTCAGGCTATCGAGGGAGGGAGGGGAATGTCCTTGTGTGGCCGCATGGTGCGTAATACCGGAGGTCTTCTCACATTGTTCATTGACTTGACTGGGAGCGAGGCTTTGTTTTTTTTCCTGAGGGCTTCGTTACCACTTTTCGTTCACGCTCGTCCGCGATCATCCATCTTGTTCAGCTTGACAGGTGGGTCTTTTTTCCCTTAGTGACGGTGTTCTGTTTCTCCTATGTAATACTTTTCGAAAATTAGTAATTTGTCAACCCAGCCTGAAGAGTTTTTATTTTCAGAATTACTTCGTAACGCACCAAACTTTTTTTATGTATAACGTTGGTATAATATTTACTGTTAAGTAATTACTTTGTAACTTTTCACTGAAGCTTTTTTGATAAGGTAAAACTAAGAAATATTTATTTGCAATATTATTTTTGATATCACTAATGTGCAAGTTCATTTAAAGTATCCTATTCTTCTGTTTGTAGTACTATTGACGCATTTAACTGAACAATTATTGTTACTGCATAACGTTAATTTGGTACGCTTTATTTCTTGTGATGCTTTGATATGTCAGAGACGGGAGAACAGTGCATAAACTATTCTTTAGTTAACAAGACCACTTGACGTTTCTGCCAAGCACAGTTCTTCTTCAGAGTTACAATATTGTAATTGTGAGTTAGACTTTTAGGTATTTATCAATGTTAGTAGGTTTATGATAGAATTGTTTTATAAAAATTTCCATAGTTAACTATTAAGACATCAAGAAAAAGTAGATTAGAGTAGTTTGCTATTTCAGAGATCAAGCTTCTATTTGGAGGGAAGAGGCTATAGAGAAGGTTCAGCACTTTATTTTCATCTACACCGTGACAGGTAGCAAAGATATCGTCAAGTTGTCTTTTGAAAGCTGTTGGAAATAGTTCCAGGTTCGTTTCCCTGGTCGCATTTTTTTAAGTATTCTATAAAAATTTCGGCCAGGATTGGGGAAAGTTGGTTAATCATGGATGCCCGATTAGGATGCCCCTTTAGCTTTTTGAAATGTATTTTGTCATGAAAATTTTATGGCACACTTTGAAAATGTGACCTGGCACATGAACATATACTTCGATCTGTAGTTCAGAGCGAAATTTATAAAGACAATATACAATCCCCTATTTCCCGAAGCACTGCAATGTTGCGTGCTAGGGTGATCATCTTGGTATAACTCTTTAAATGAAGCAGCGTGAAATTGTTAGAAATGACATATCGTTTTCTAGTATAAGATGTGCCCGGCGTAAGTGCATTAACCCCTTGCTTCTAGTTATCTAGAAGTCTTTTAAGGAGGCAAGTGGTATTTGAATAGCTTCTATGCATTGGATGCAGGACGGCACCTCTGATTTTGGCTGAGCAAGGGCGCATTCGAGCAGTTTCTAAATATGCCATTTTTTGTAGGCAAATATATCTGTTGTAAGAAAGCGAAATGTTATGATTAGTGGTTGAATTAAAAAACTACAATGTGATAGCTAGACTGAACATCAGGGTTTTATTTTGTCTATCGTGAGAAATGGTTTCGTTACATTTGAGTAACATGATGGTTTGTTCCATTAATCCTTTCAAAAATTTTGGCCATATTACATAAGTACTCACAGTTTCTTGCAGTGGTATTTGTGCAATATTATCCAGATAGTGGGATTTTGACAAGAAACGTCGCTGCGCAAGGGATTTTACATGAATGAATGA